AAATAAGGGTTGGGGATGTGATTCAAAGCCACCTAAAGGGATTTTTAAAACATGGAGTTAACACCAGACATTCTTTTAGTTACATAATGTTGAAATTAAAGGTGGGCTTGGATATAGGCATTAAAAATGAGTGTCCGATGTTTCAGGATCTGCTGTAGACACTGGTACTACCTTAGCGACTAAACTTGTCATTTCTTTTCACGTATCACTTAGAGACAGAGGTGAAGATGGCAAACAATTACTGAATGCTGGTAAATAAAAGCTTGAGGTTAATGAAGTAGGGGTAAGGGAAATAAATTTGTAACCACCACTCCTAATGTGGGACCCTGAGTTGTTTTAGGGAAAGTGTGCAAGCCAAATGAGATGTGACTGTGCTTTAATAGGTTTTATATTTAGTGTTATGGGATCAAATTGGAAGGATTGATGTCTAGGAGAGGCTTAACAGCGCTGAGCAAACATTCACACCGAATGTAAAGGTTGCATAAAAGTTGCAGGTAAGGACACTCCAGATTGAGGAAACAATGACTCAACAGAGGCTATAAATAAAATTTGGGGAATGGAAAATAGGGCTATAATGCAAGGTTCATAGAATAATGGGTGACAGGTTACAAACCTGTAAAAGCAGATTATGGGTAGTGTAAACGCCTTTTTAAACTTACATCAACTATTTTCTGGGAAATGTTAATAAACAAATTTTTAGGACAGTAAAAGACTGTTTATGAAAGAATTCTGAGATCATGATGGATGAACTGGAAAATATGTACAAAGGCATTAAGTTTAGTCCAGGGGAGAAAAGTAGATCAAACTTGTAACAAAACTATTGCTTTTAGGGAAGGTGGTTGCTGAGGAGCCTAATATTACACTGATTACCAATAAAACCAGACATTGCTAGAGAAATCAATTCTGATGAGGCAAGATGAATAAATTGTTTCAAATAAGGTAAAGGCAGTCTGAAAAACTGGTCCTAAACTTAGGTAAATGGGAAGGTCTAATGTACTGTTAACTTTGCTGAAGGGAGTAGATTAAAGCCATTTGAAAATAACAGTATGAAGTTAATCTATCACAGAAGATAAAGTCAAATCAACATGTACTTGCTTCCTTTGAGTTGCTAGCAAGAATAAAACCTGAGCAATCCTGTCTATCCCTACAAAATATGCAGGCAAGATAATGTAGGTGACTTTTTGTTTTATTGCTATTATTGGATCTTCAATGTGAGATTAGGACAGGATGGAATTCAATACATCAGGATGTTCTGAATGGTGTTTCCTGCAAAGGACATGGAAGTCCCTCCAATCATACTTTTCTGAATCAAAGATCATTGCGGTAGCCTTTAAAAATCTACTAGCATAATTTTGGTAGAGTGCAATTAAAAGCGAGGACCCTTGTTATAGCAATCCCTTTTCCAAATCTGATCATTTGACTAGTTTCTTTTAGAAAATGTTCAACATCTTTCAAAGTCTCATTCATGTGTACTTCCCCAAAGAATTCCATTCCAGCTCCTGTAGCAAGCACTTCATCTGTATCACACTCATTTGGTATTTAAACCAACTGAACACCTACCTTAGCCTTATCTGACTTCATAATTAAAGTATTCCAAGGCAAATGCATTGCTTAACTGTGCTGAAGGTGTCAGTGCCTTATAAATAATGTACCTAGATAAGCATTCATTCCATTCAACAGGATACAGGTTTTTCCCAGAAACCTGAACCTTGCTTTTCAGGGATCCAAGAAGAGATGACATTGTATTTAAGTGAATGTTCATTCACTTTCTCCCAGTTAGCTTATGAGAAATTTTTACTTGTTCAAACTTATAGAAAACCCTGTTGATAACATACTTTTTAACCTAATAATACAACTGGATTCAAACACAGAAAAACTACTCAATTTTCTTTTACTTCCTACTCCCCCCATTAGAACAAGGGTGCAACACCTTAAACTGATATAAAACCAAGACTTTCATATAGCTGTCTTCACAAATTCTTTAGCTGGCTATGGGTACCCTGAAGCAACTACCCACAGTATTATTAAATGGTTTTCAGACAAACCCACAAATGCTTAGAAATCAAGAGTCAACTACTATAGTACTTTAGAAAGTATGGATTAACTGAACCCCACTCTAAGACCACCCTCAAGTGACATCACTATCAAATTGGCCCTTTCCTAGACTCATACTGATACTGCTCTTAAATCACTAATTATACCCATTTCTTCCAACACTTAGCCTTACACAGATGAACTACACATTTGACCTTAATCCCTTCTTTATGCTACATATACTGTCGTTTAAGTTTCCCATTTCTACTTGTAACACCTTTCTCTACCATTTGACCAGGATTTGGATGGAATTCATCTCTAGGATACAGGCCTAAGATGGGTAAAGAAGGAAAAATCAAACAAGAAATAACATAAATTATATTCTTTGTTATAGGGTGGGAGACTTGCGTGGGAAAGGAAGTTTTACTAATCGTGAAAGGTGTAGTACTATATTCTGACCTTTTTTGTATTATTCAGTAACATCAAAAACAAGCCATTGTTGGTTGGGTAAAATAGGCTGGCATTCCAGTGATATTGTGTGATCTTTACACTGGGAGAACAGGATCATAATTAAGAATGCTTTGCTGAACATGGTGGTAAATGCCTGTAAACCCAGTGGCCTGGGAGGGTGAGGCATGAGGATAGCAAGTTTGAGGCCAGTCTCAGCAATTTAGTGAGACCCAAACTCAAAAAATAAAAAGGGGTGGGGGGAGTATAGCTCAGTGGTAAAGCACCCCTAGGCTCAACCTCCAGTACCAACTATCAGTTTTTTTTTAATTATAGGGCAGTAAAACAATCCTGTCTAGGAGAGCACATGCATACCAATGACGTGAATCACTTTGTGCCTATACACAACTATTAACACTTCAGTTCTTATTTTAATTTTTTTTTTGGTCTTAGACACAATACCTTTGTTTTGTTTATTCATTTTTATGTGGTGCTAAAGATCCAATGCAGTGCCTCATGTGCTAGGCAGGTGCTCTACCACTGAGCCAAACCCCAGCTTGTTTTTAGAAAACAAGCAATTGTTACTCTTGGCCCATTTTCTTGAAGGAAGAAGATGTTGATATAAAGCCTGCAAAAAAAAGTGAAGCTCCATTTACTCATAAAGTGAATATGAAAGCAAGATTTGAACAAATGGCTAAAGCAAGGGAAGAAGAAGAACAAAGAAGAATTGAAGAACAAAAGTTTCTACGAATGCAGTTTGAACAAAAAGAAATTGATGCAGCACTACAAAAGGTACTAGGCTTACATATTTTTTAAAAATTTTTTCTAAGGAGGCTTTTAAATACCATAATTTTATGAAGAGGAATTTACAGAATGTTTTAATAGCTTTCAAGTAATTGGAATAATGTGTACTTAATAAGTGTACATTATTTACTTTCACCTTCAAAATTCTACTACTATACCGCCGCTTTGAAAATACTGATATTATAAATGCCATCCTGAATGCATTTATTTTAATACAGAAAAGAGAAGAGGAGGAAGAGGAGGAGGGTAGCATCATGAATGGCTCCATGATTGAAGATGAAGAGCAAACCAGATCAGGAGCTCCGTGGTTCAAGAAGCCTCTGAAAAACACCTCAGTTGTAGATAGTGAGCCAGTCAGATTTACTGTTAAAGTAACAGGAGAACCCAAACCAGAAATCACATGGTGGTTTGAAGGAGAAATACTGCAGGATGGGGAAGACTATCAATATATTGAAAGAGGAGAAACTTACTGCCTTTACTTACCAGAAACTTTCCCAGAGGATGGAGGAGAGTATATGTGTAAAGCAGTCAACAATAAAGGCTCTGCAGCTAGTACCTGTATTCTTACCATTGAAAGTAAGAATTAATCATCTTTTAATCTTTTTATTCTATTAAAAGTTTTTTCCTATTAAAAAAATTATTTTTCTTTTTCTCTTTTTTAGCTGATGACTACTAGGGTACCTTCTCAACTTGGAACTTTTTCTATCTACAACTTTCTTTCTTCCTACTTTCTGTGGCAGTACCAAAAAGGATACCAGAAGTACCACTCTGTTGACTTCTTAATTCCTTTTCATAAGTCTTCAAAACACAAACTTATTACAGAATATTGTTTTTCAATTGAATATCAGATTTATCAACATATTCTACAATATGTATTTTAGCAGTCAATAAAATATATTTATGAGAGTGGGAAATTGATTCAATTATTCTATCAGAACCTAATTACAAGGGTGGTAGTATATTTCCCATATTCATAGCAGTTATGTTTTTAAAAAGTAAACATTATTTTGCATGAATTATCTTTAGTGAGCTTTTATACCTAAAATTAGTCAGAAGTAGACTGAGACAACTAATTAGGAATCAATTTGAGTTAGTTTGTTTTCTTAGAGGAACAGAATTCTGAATGTTGTAGTTTTAGAGTCTTTCTGAAAAGAGGGGGAATAAGATCATTCTTTTCATGGAAAAGGGAGAACATGCAGAAAAACAAAAGTTTAAGAAAGAATTTATGGAAAACAGACACCAGAAAACACCTAATAAGAAACCACTATCTATACATTGTTCTGAGTGTCAGGGATACTTAAATATATTTTTCAGATGTGTGTAATATATAACCAAACCACTAAAGCAAATTTTATTATGATCTTGTCTGAACAAATTATGTTTTAATTAGAAAACATTTTCAACATAACTGTAGAGGACTGAGTAGAAAGCCTTTAATTAAAAATACTAGTCTATTTGTAAATAACTAGTTATGTTCTGTCATTAAGTTGTTTTTATATTTTAATTTTCTGGAAGACAGATTTATTTTACAATGTAAACCCATAATAAAGTAACTTGTATATTAAAGAAAAAAGTCTTTCCTTGGTTTAAAGATTCCTACAAGCAGATGTTTACCCTTATCATTAGAATTCTTACCCACAATAATCCTTTAAAGACAGTCAAGACAAAATTCTTTTTCCTGAGTATTAAATGCATAAAAGACACAAAGTACTCTCTTATAATTCAAAGTACATTTATTTATTTATTTTATTGAGGAGACCAAAATGAATACAAAATTACAGCAAGCATACGTCCTTTTACATACAGTGTCATTAAAGCAAACTCTAAACCACAGTTTGTAAAGTATTCAATTTACCTCAAGTCCAAGCTGCATCTCCCTAAGACACTGTTCCCATCACAGTAGCCATTTTAAGCCAATCTTCTTTTTACACACGGGTAGTTTCTGTAGAGAACACTTTTCTCAGGACGAAAATGCATCGAGCATGCATAAGAAAAAATATATATATATATATTCGCAAATACATTTAAGAGTTTTCTTTAGGGGTATTACTGAAGAAAATAAAACTCTGGGATTTATTTGCTTTTTAAAAGCACCAATTTAAAAATCCCTCGAAAGTTTTATTGTGGTAAGAAAAATCAAGTGACTGTTCAAATAAAACGTAAGGTTATTTTCAGAGTCAAATTATATTTAACTAGGTATTGTTAAAAAGCATTTTTAAATGAGGCAGAATTTGCAGAAAAAAAAAAGTAAAACATCCTCATTGATTAGTAAACTCTACTACATTATTCTAGACAACAGATAACTTTTTAGGTAGAAGATTCTACTGGAAGAGCATCCAAACAAATACTGTTACTTAGTAATATACTCCTATTTCTTTCTAAGTCACTCTGCTACACCTAACCAAACCTGCCATTATGAATAAACCTCAAAGATATTTGTTTAAGGATACGTTTTACAATGTTAATAAACAACTAGTATCAAATCACTATTCTTAGTATTAAACCATTTTCATTAGTTAAAACACTATACTTATTTCTAAACAAAACAAAAAAAAACAAAAAACATCAAACTATAGAATTCTAAGTATCACAACACTAAGATGTTTTAAAAACACATTGTCAAGTTTTTGCTCAAGTGCTAATCAAATCAATCAGTTAAATTTCAATCTAAACATTTTTTTTCCCTACCACCACTAAGATCCATTATCATTTCAAACCATCTGGCTCACCTTTTCTGCTTTCCCTTTATTTCAAAATTATGGAAAGGTTAGCGCCATTTTAAAAAAATGCTTATTTTATCAAGAAGGCTTATGAATTAAAAAATTCTCATGAGATAGCAACAATGCCACAATATCTATTAGCATTCATCTATATTTTCTTTTATAAAAATGCAAACTACAACTAACCAAAACTTGACAGGCTCTTAAAGTCAAGAGCCCCTTTGTATTATCAAATTTTAACATAACTAGCATTGACTATCAAACACACAAAAGCATAAATGTGGTGCAGTAACTTAAGAAATTTAACAGTTCATGGAACATTTAAGATCAAGTGAACAGCACTTTAAAATGAAAAGTGATCAAAAGCAGGTACATTACACCCTATACCATATTATGTATGGGAATACATTTCATATTTCTCAATTATGATTTGCCAATTTTACCTTCTACATTGAGCCCTTCTATGGTCCATGCTCATCGGCTCACCAATGGCATACACTCAAAGGATTCCTCTTTATGGGTAACTATCTCAGGACCTGATTTTATGAGCTATGATTTGGTGCTTGCAGCATCTTCAGCACTGTGTGTGAAAATGAAGGCAGTATTTTTGAATATTTTTCTTTGATGTAGAGATAAGCAGGAGTTTTAAAAGGATCAGCACATTTTAGAAACTGAATAAACAAAACTGGTATGATGCTGCTTTAATACAATCATCTTAACTCAAAATTATGTACCAGTTAAAATCATCTATAAGAACACACAAACACTTAAAACTGGCAAAAATAAAATAAATGCAGCGTCAGTTATTAAAATATTATAAGTCAGAAAAATATTGGTTGCTACACAGATTATGAAAGGTTATTTGCTATACAGTTAACATTTCACTGATGCACATGCCTTTTATCAAAACATACTGCCAGTATTTCATAATTTTTTCTTTTCAGCATTTGTTATGAAAACAGACTTGTCTAAGAAAAAAAATGATAATAAAAACTGTCCCATAATGTTCTTACTGATTTATTATAGTTCAAGAATAAGAAAAAAGAAAATAAAGAAACCATAGCTTTGGAGGGCAAAGAAAATGTCGTGTCAATCATAAACAGACTGTGAAGGCTGTTGAAGTTTCTGACCAACCGATTTCCTAAATTTTGAAAACTATGCAACTGTCCTTTCTTAACTGCAACAATTTTATATTTTGGGGAAAAATGCAAGATTTGCATGTAGATCAGTTATAGCAGCAATCTACATTACTTTCGTTTTAATAAAAAAATTAAAATGAAAAACATAACCCAGAAATGTACAGTTGCTTGAACAACTTAACAGACTTTCCACTAAAATGGTAGCATAACAAAATACATTTTGGGGTAGCAGCAGCAGATTGCTTTTGAGTACACAACCACAAAAACCTCACAGGGACAACATTAATGTACTGAAATATTTATTTATATATGTCCTTAGGTTGTGCTTACCTGTGCTTTTTGCAGCAGAACCTAAGGTGGAAGGTCTGGGAAGGCACTGTGAAGTATAAATAATTGCACTGTTTGCAATTAATAAAGATTTTAAACCTTAAATGAATCAAAATCAACAGCCTCCAATTTGTGAGTTATGATACTGAATCCAACTGAACTATTTCTTCAGTTTTAATTAATAAATGCACCACTTTCCTAAAAGATCATCTACACAACAGAATCATGCAAAATACTCAAATTTTCATGTCAATACCCTAATCTTAAAGATAATAGATTAACTAACTCCTTAACTATTAAACTTCAAACTAGTACTACACATCCATATCTAAATAAGGGTAAGGGAAATCACTCTAGGTTATATAAAACAATCAAAAACATTTCAAAATATCTAAAATGAACTGTACTGCTATTTTCCCCTACAGGTAATCTCAACATTTTGTTCTTGCACATCTTCCTTTACAGTATATTCAAAGCAACAAATGGTGCTCCCCACCAATGACAGAAAATATATTTATGGTGTTAAAAGTGCTACATTGCTTATTATTTGCAAGCTGAGAACCACTTCTGTCTTACACATTTCAAGTTTTTCATATTAATATACGATATGCATATTTTAACCAAAAAACAATATTTTAGGAGCACCAATAATACTGTTCAATTTTTTTAATGATCAAGTTTTCTTTAGCTATAGCTAAAGCATATCAAAAATACTTACCCATTAAGCTCACTTAGAAAAAAAAAAACAGAACTATGTATTATTCTATGTTAAGCAATTATAGTTTTCCAAGATATTAGCACTGTATTCCAACATAATATTCACACAAAATATGGCATTTGCATTATGTGGAACATTGACAAAAAGATACTGTTGCAGTTCATCAATTTGTCATTCTGATGTACTTACAGTGCAATGCTCCTTGAAGGAACACAATCAAGGATGATACACAGCACAGTCCTCCTCACCCCTACAGAGCTAGTTCTATACTGGCTGGATCAAACCTGCACTTCAACAGACAATGGCAAGACAGACTGTATTTGCATGTAGTCTATAAATATGCAAAGAGCCAACAAATATGCAAAGAATAAAACAATGGATTTCAACAAAATATCAGAACTTCAGCATGAGTGTTAAAGAGTAATAAAATGATTTCAAGTACATAAAAAAATTAAGTTGATTCAATGATTGGACTTGTGCATTTACAAAACAAAGCTTATCTATACTGCAAAAATAAAAAAAGAGAAAAAAGAAAAAAACTTGAACGTTTCCATACCCCAATTATGTTTCAATGGCAGATGCAATGTAGCTATACTTTTTGCATACTACTCGCTTTTCTACCCTAAATTTAGAAAGAAACACACTAATATTATATACATCGAAAGAGTTACTTTACATGAAAAAAAAGTCATTATACTACTCAAATTCACTATCTGAAAACTGTTTAAAATTAGTTATGCTGAAACAGTCTTGGAAATCAAGTAAATATCAAATTAAGAACAGAAAGGTTAACTGTTATAGCAGCAGTACAGGTCTGAAACAGTGGTCATGTATAAAAGGAAATTTTACTGTTAATGCAATGGAAGTATGCCAAAAGATCATTGTACACACATGCAGTTTTTAATCAAACAGAAGGGAAAAAAATGAAGATATCAGGATTACTTGTGCTGAAATAGCCAGATACAATAAATGGAAAAGTCTCCAATCTACTACTATACTGCAACGGGGAAAAAACATGCCAGTGTTTAAAAACTCAATAATTCACGGGGAAAGCTTACATATTTGTGTATATGTATCTTATCATTGCTAAGAAATTACGAATTCTTTAAATACCCACATATCCAACTTACCGACACAGGAGGTTTCATATCATTTATTGTAAAGCACAAAACAGGCATTTTTAAAAGTGAAAGTATACATTGAAAAAGTACATTTATATCACAAAGCATTGACCACATAATAGTTGCAAATACATTTGCTGGAATGTGTACATCTACACTAAACACTAAAAACAAACCAATTTTCATTTCTACACAGAAATATTAACCTCCTATCAGTAGTGATAGATATTTTGTACATTTTCAAAAAAAAAAAAAAAAAAGAAAAAGAAAAAGAAAAAGAAAAAAAAGGGAAAAAAAAAAACTACTTTAAACCAAAAACAAAATTAAGATCTTCATCAAGTCGTCTGCATCCATATATTTAACAAAGGTTTTTTTCCCCCACACAATGAAGCAAATACTGTATTGTCCACTTCTTATTATTGGCCCTGTGCAGAAGAGATACATAAGAAATACACAAAAAGTTAAAGAAAATCCTTTAAATGGAGCTAATTCAGGAGTGAATCCTTTAAGAAAGAAAAATTGGTTAATATAAATGTTGGTGGCTTCTTGCATGATTTGCAAATCCCTGGGGGGAAGAAAATTTATTTTTAAATCAAAGGCATTGTAGAAATATTCAACACTCAGATGCCAGAAAGAATTATTTAAAATAAAAAACAAGAAACCCCCCAAACAAAACAAAAAACCAAATATACAACATTTCAGTTATAGTCTGCCAGATGAAAATAAAAAAGATAAACAATCCCAAACAGACAAAACAGTAAACATGCAGAAAACATGATTGGAGGGGGAGGGGGGGGAAATCAACAAATTAGTATATTTATTTATTATACCTGAGGTGCTGGAGGATGCTGTGGCATTCCCTGGGGACTTGTCTGGGCATAATAAGCTGCTTGTTGTCTATAGTACTCAGCCCAGGCCGCACTATAATCTGGCTGACCACCTGGTGGAGCCCCAGTAGGAGCAGGAACTGCTTGACCTTTAAGAAAACAGAACAACTTTGTTGCTGCAACCATAATTAAAAGCCCAGAAGAATCTCATTTCTAACAAAAACAATACCTTGCTTCTTGTAATATTCCTCCCAAGCCTTTGAATAATCTTGTGTCTGCCCTTGTTGACCTAAAAAACAACCCCCTATATTTTAACCCTATATTTTAATATAAAATTATATCCACTGTAAGTACAGGTTATAATGACAAAGCAGAGGGTCAGAATTCTGCCTGTTTATCTTAAATATTCATTAGTGTTGAAACTACCCTGAAAAAAAAAAACAAAACCCCTCTTTTCTTAGTCTTATGTTAATCATGGATTTTTAGAAGGCATCACTATTAATTAAAACAAATACTTGCCAAAATCCACATAGCCTTAAGTAAAGGTAAAAATTCAGGCATAATACTTGAATCAATTCCAGAGTTAAACTGTTACTGTTCCGAATAAGTTTCAAAAGTACTTCAAGTTAAGTAGTCTGTAAACCTTTGGATGGTGCCCTGGTAGTGATGGCAAACAGAGGGTAAAAGAGAGAAAATTCTCTATTTTTTTGGTTGTTTCTCTGTTTGGATTCATCTGTTATACAACTGGTCTTGAAATTCAAGCCCTCAACAGAGAATTACAAAAAATATTTATAGAAAACACTTAAAGGCCATGACAGACTCAATGTTTAAATTACAACCAAAAATTATTAAAAATAACTTGGCAAATAACACAAAAAATTAGATCAACGAAACACAATACTCATGAGGAGCAGATCTTTCTTTAGGCAAGATGACTTTTCTGAATTATAAGATTAAAGAGACACTGAATGGGCTCTGAAAATATAATTATAAAAGATTTTCTGAATAAATATATTGTGCATGTTAAGGACACTGCTGAGTATATTTGGAGGAAAAATTATCTGCAACTTACTTTGTAATTGTCCATGTACAAAAAACATTAAATACAAAGGGATATGAATCACTTTTTAAAAATGGTGAAACTGGATATTTGCTGTACCCCCCACCGCCTCAATTTTCTGAAAGTGGGAAATTTTCAAAATAGAAAACACAGCTGGGCAGTGGTGTGTGCCTGTAATCCCAGGTACTTGGGAGGCTGAGGCAGGAGGATCACAGGAGGTCAGCCTGGGAAACTTAGGAAGGTCCTGTCTCAGAGAAAACAAAGGGCTGGGGATATAGCTCAGTAGTGGAAAACCTGCTTAGCATCTAGGCCACACACACACACACACACACACACACACACACACACACACACACACACAAGCAGCAAGGAGAAACAAGGACATGTTTTCTTAATCATAGCTCCTACACATGAACACTTGGTTCTATTACATAATTACATAGAAAAAATACTGGAGCATTATATAGGAAGCTATTTTTATGTTTGCTGGATGTTTCCAAAAAGGCAACTTTATGTAGTTTAAGAAAGTAGTAGCCACCATTATAAAATTGTAACAATTAAAAAGCCACTGAATGAATAAAATTTTAAGTTATAACCATTAACCTTAAAAATGAATAAAAACCCTTTCTTTGGGCAACAGAGAAAAATTTACTACAAAAAATTCTCAATATTTCTTTTTCTTCCATAAATAACTTTTTCCAAAAGCGAGTTTAACATTTTGACCTTTATAAGGAGACAAGTCAAACAAGTTTCAATATTTGCAAAACAAATACCAGGTAGTAAAGGCAATAAAAACACATCTCTTTCATCCTTGGAAACAAACCTTGTTAAGAGAGCAATAATTCCCACTTACAAGTTTATAAAATGAACAAAACTTCATTGTAAGATATGCTTAGGTTGCTTGCTTGCTTATTTATTTATGGTGCTGGGGATTGAACCCAGGGCCTTAGTGCATGTGAGGCAAGCACTCTACCAACTGAGCTATATCCCCAGTTCATAACAAGATGTTAAACAGACATGTGCAGAAAAAACTCATTAGACTCAAATATTCCCTAACACCCCCCCCCAAACCCAAGTATCTGATGAAAAACTAGAAGTAAGGTGTTAGACTCAAAGAAAAATATTTGTTAAGTTGTCAACATTTTACATTTCAATCTGAAACATACGTTAAAAAAAAAAAAAAACTATTTGGGCTGGGGTTGTGGCTCAGTGGTAGAGTACTTGCCTAGCACATGTGAGGCATTGCTTTTGATCCTCAGAACCATGTAAAAATGAAGAAAATAAAAGGTATTATGTCCATCTACAACTAAAAGGAAAGAAAAACTCATTTCACCTTTCCCGTCCAAAGGCCAAATGTTACTCATTTTGCCAAGTTAAGAAGACAAAAGAACTCTTCCTATTTAATGTACTTAAGACTTGGCTCTCTACCTCCAGTACTTCCGTTTCTTTTTATGGGTAACAACTTTCTACTATAGTCGAAGAATCACTATTCCTTGAACAGTGTGTAGCACTCAATTATTTCTCCATATATCCTCCCACAATTCCTCTTGCTCCTTCTTCAGGCTTATGATACCAGATGGCTAGTGTTCTGAGTCCATCATATCAGTGCTTAACATCAGAAGGGCTTTTCTATTTTTTTTAAAAATATTTATTTAGTTGTAGATGAACTCACAGTATATTTATTTTTATGTGGTGCTGAGGATTGAATCCAGTGCCTCAAACATACGAGACAAGCACTTTGCCACTGAGCTATAGCCTCAGCCCCAGAAGGGCCTTTCTTAAGTCAAACTTTTCCCAAAATGATTTCACTTACCCTGCTCCAAAACAGAAATTATCTCTCTAGTTTGAAACCTTATTTGTTCTCTTATGGAGTATTTGCTAATTAGTTAAACTCTCTAGAATCTCATTTTTAAGAATTTAATCACCTGAGTTTCTTTGGGGGAAAAAACTCCAATGTCATAGCCTGCCTAGTTTGGTAAAGAGTACTGGATGGGAAATCAAGGGAACTAGGAAATCTGAAGTCTTGGAAAATCTAGACCAACTGAAGGGTTAACAAGGAAGTGGGTTGTGAGTAAAGATTTTTATCTCCCAATATTATCATTCCTTTTCCTCCTGCCATTTATGATACTTGATGACTGAACTATATTTAAAGTCTCTTATTTGTGGATACCCTAAAAAGAGCCTGAGGATTATACCTAGAAGAAATCAGAGTAGTTAAGCAAAGGTCATTTACAAAAAAAAACTGTTATAGGAAAAAATAAATTGACATCCCTATCATATAATAAAAATATGTTCATTAAACATGCAACTAAATTATCTAGTCTTAATTTCTTTAAAAAGTACATTAAATGGGCGAAGTGTTACACACAGTGGCTTGGGAGGCTGAGTTTAAGGTTGGCCTGAGCAACTCAGAGAGGCCCTAAGTAACTCAGTGTAACCTTGTCTCTAAATAAGACATATGGCTCAGTGACTTAAGTGCCTGTGGTTCAATCCTGGGTACCAAAAAAAAAAAAAAAAAAAAAAAGGTGGGGAGACACATATGAAGGGGCTGAGGGTTGTGGCACAGTATTACAGCCCAACCTGGATTCAATCCCTAACACAACCCAAAACAATTACATGAGAGGCAAATGCCCAACCAGTCTATACAATCTAACATAATATCTACAGAACGATGATTTTAAAAAAAGGCTGGCAGGGAAACAGTAGTAAATGAAAAATTACAACAAAGGCAAGTTAAAATGCCTACACTTTTATAGTAATAATCAGAAATCAAAGTACTCACTTTGGGCATGTAAAATATAAAACAACTCAACAGAAAACTTTTTAGCGGTTGTGTTGCCAAGAAGCAGTAGGATATAATAAAGCACAGAAGCCAAACTCATCCCCCAATAATTACCAAGTCATTAAAAGGTCTTTGTTTTTACCCACTTGGTAACAATATAGGAACATGTCTGGCATGGTGTGAAAAAAGAAGTTTGAACTAATGTATTTTAACCTCAACATGCTTAATTCTTTAAAATGATAAAGTTATTATATTAAATTTAAGGTGGATATAGGTCCTAACCACTGTGTTGCCAGGGCATGATTATTCACAGCATGCCCATTCACATAATAAATTATGTGGTCACACTAAGAAGAGTATATTATTTAGGATTAAAGTTAAACAACTTCTTAATGCAGTTGCTGTAGATGTGTCTAAGCTAAGCTAGGTCACAAAAACAAAATTAATAAATCTGAGAAATCCTTAGGAATGATACACAGCATGACACTCTTTTCAAGGTCATTGTAACTGGAAAAATTAATCTTCCTTAAACAGCAATCAGCCAAGCCTGGTGGCCTACATCTTTAATCTCACTGACTTTGGGGCTGAAGCAAACAGAGGACTGTAAATTTGAGGTTAATTGGCAATATACTGAGACCCTGCCTCAAAAACAAAAAAATTTTCAAAAGGGCTGGATAGGTAGCTCAATGGTAGAGGGCTTGCCTAGCCAGCATAAGGGCCTACATTCAATCCCTAGTACCACAAAACCAAACCAAACAACTAACCAAGAATTAGCTTTGCAGAAATCTTTAGAAAACACTGAAATTTATACTTAAAACCACAAGTAGACTATCTTACAACAAAATTCTACCTTTTTCTGTGCCAGTGAAGGATGGGCAAATTTATCTGTTTAGCTTTCATTTGTGACTTTCATTTTTGATAACTGACTGTGGTAATGGTATGTTACTTTAAAAAGAATTATAAGCCAAAGCATCTGAAAAACAACAGTCTAGAAGTATAGTACCAGGTTCTAAATGGTCCCTAAAAACATAAAATTTGTGAAATAGGTTTGGGACTTGTGAAGTAAAATTCAGATTCTATCTCAATCTGTACAAGTGAACTGTTAGTGAAGAGAAAGCTCTTTTCCTTTGCATGGCAGTTTGATTTTTCAAATATATCATTTCATTTGACTAACAATCGTATCCTTTTAGATCAGGTCTCCTAGCTCCTATGCTCTAAATGCACTCTCAATATGTACCACTATGCTAGGCATATGGCTTTATGTAAGCTATAGTTATTGAAGGAAAAAGTTTTTTTCTAGGTGACTTATTTTCCCTTTTTCATACATACCAGTGTTATTTAAGTAATTCCCTTCTCTGTAGGTTACTTCTTACCTGGTTTACTGTTTATTGGGTGGTGGTGCTGGGATCAAACCTAGGACCTTGTACATGCTAATCAAGTATTCTTCCCTGAACTTCCTCAGACCTTACCTGCTATTTTGCAGCAAAAATGATAGCACACACAACCAACTTCTGCTTGGTGCTCAGAAATATAACTTCATATCATTTATGCTAGTTATAAAGGTTAACTGGCCTTTGACAAAAGTTCAGCAATATTCAAAGTCATATATGCCAGTGAGAAAAATTCCAGTTACAAATAAAAACTGATTAACAAATGCATTTCCTTGTTAATAACTACAGATTTTAAGATTTATTTTTGTTTGTGTGGTGCTGGGGATTGAACTCATGATTTTGCATGTTAGGCAAGTGCTCTACCACTATGCTGCAAACCCAGACCAAATGTAAGAATTATTTGTAGTGGCTGAAGATCCAGTTATTTTATAATGTAATTTTGGTAATTATTCCCTCAATATTACAATAATTAATGAATCAAAATTATAAGGACACACACACACACACACATATATATTTAAATATACACAACATACCCATTTTCTTGTAGTACTCTTCCCAAGCCTTGGTATAATCAACCTGTCCAGCTGGAGCTGGATTTTGCTGATCTCCTTGTTAAAGAAAAACAACAAAAAAGTAAGATTAAAAGTTTTTAAAGGCTATTTTGAGCCTTTCCTTCTGCTTCTTGGAGTGTAGGAATTGGCAGTGGACTATGATGGAGCAGTGAGGTAGAAGGGAGTTGCTGTGTGATAGTGGCGTTGTCCCTGCTAGTGCCAAAGACAGAAGATGATGGGGCTAGAGATATAGCCCAGGTGGTAGGAGTGCTGGCCTTGCGAGGACAAAGCCCTGCATTTAATCACCACACACACAAGCGCGCAAACACACACATATACAACAGAAGATGGTGTAAGATTGAGATATTGGACAGATAACACTGGTTATTATATATATATATATGCGCAAACTGACGTCAAATAAGAAAATACATCGAGGATACCCGATTCTCACCATATAGGAAAAAAAATTTTTTAAAGTTGTAGATGGACAGCATGCCTTTACTTGTTTAGTTTTATATGCAGTGCTAAGGATCGAACCCAGTGCCTCACACATGCAGGTATGAGAGCAGGGGGTATCACAGATTAAACTCAGGGGCACTCATAGATTAAACTTAGGTGCTTTGCCGCTGAGCTGCACAGCCCAAGCCCTTACCATTTTTAAATATGAAAAGGGAAAACACTTTAAAGAACTATTCCTAGTTGTTTTTTTTTCTTTTGGGTGGGAGGGATATTAGGGTTTAAACCCAGGATGTACCACTGAACTGAGCTACACTCCATAGCCCTAGACAAGGTCTTACTGCCTAGGCTGGCCTCCAGCCTCAACTTCCCAAGTAGCTGAGATTATAGGTGTGTACCACCATGCCCAAATATTTCCTAGTTTTGTCTGCCGAAAAAAACTAGATGTAATGACACCTCAGTAGCAATATGCGTACAATTTGGTTTCTAAATGTCATCCTTCATTAAAGGGAAATCATGCCAGGCATGGTGCTGTGTTGGCTATAATCCCAAAGACTCCAGAGGTCAAGGCAGGAGGATTCCAAGCTCCAGGACAGCCTCTTCAATTTTATGAAACCCTGTCTCAAAGAATTAAAAAAGAAGGTTTGGGGAGGTGGCTGAGTGATAAAGACTGCCCCTGAGCTTAACTTATGATACCCTCTGCCCTCCACCAAAGGAAATCAGGAACCTTTGTAGAAATGGCTAGAGCCCGAAAACATAAAATAAACATTGTGCCAGAAAATAAGAAAGTGTTTAAAGAATTATAGGCACTTCAAAAGGATACAGGAGCCACCTTGAAGATACTACTGACTGGCCCAATTTAGGACAATCTGATTATTAAAATAATAAAAAATGATTTAAAAAAATACAAAAGGAACCCATATCGATATAAAGAACTAAATAGGATAAAAAGGGAAAGCTCTTTATGATAAAATATCAACTAATAAATGTACAAGTATAAAATCAAAATTATCATCACCATGCTAGTATTAAAAGCAGACATTATTAATGAAGGCTGTTTGATAGAAGTTTGACAAAGAACAGTATAATCTCAATATAATGCCCCCAGAAAATACTAATTAATTTTAAGAGAAAAATGGTAGTATCATGGCCCAAAAACCTAACACACATCAATCAATATGACCAAATGGTCAAGCTTACTGTCACCAGATATGGAAGATTTAAACATTTTGATTCCTGTTCAAAGTATAAACATCACTGCATAGTTCCTCGAGTTTTCTTGTCAAGTAAGCATTACCTTATGGTCAACAGAAAAGATTGAATAGGCCAGGCATAGTGGTGCACACCTGTAATCCCAGTTACTTGAGAAGCTGAGGCAGGAGGATCGCTGGAGCCCAGGTTTTCAAGACCTGCCTAGGCAATACAGCGAGAATCCATCTCAAAAAAGAAAAGGTCAAAGGGACCTAGATTGGCAATCTTTTAACAAAACACAAGTCTGCACTCTACTATATAACAGAGGGAAAAAAAATTTAAAAGGAACGAGGAACAATTTCAGATTGGGAAGAGTGTGTTATATTACCAAATGGGATCCTGCATCAGGAGAGAAAGTATTAGGACAATTGGTGAAATCTAAATAAAGGCAGCACATTGGGACAGTAATGATATATTAACGTTGGGAGACTAATTTTCAGGGCTCTATAACGAAATGACGACAGTAAACATGGACACATATATGAGAGGGTAATGGAGTAGGTGGAGATAAAACAACAACTTGGCTATCTGTGTGTTCCTGATTTTGTTCTTATGAAAAGTTTCAAATTATTTCAAAGTAACTTAATTTAAGAATGCAAAATCTATAGCACTGAAGTTATAACTGAATTTAATGTTAGAAACGTTACGTATTATACAGTGATACACTTCATATATAATTTTGAATGTTTTGGCTTTTAAATACAAAATAAATTGTTTAGTTACCATAGTTACCTTGTCCATTAGTCTGGGTTGTAGTTGGTGCACCTGCAGGAGCTGCAGGTGGTGGCTGTGCTTGCTGTTGGTAATAGTGAGCATAATAAGCAGCCCAAGCTGCTGAATTTGGATCCGTTCCTGCCTTAGCTGGAATAAACACAAGGTTCAAGGTTTATATCCAAAGTCCATCATCTCTTTACTCTCTTACATAAATGCAGCTTTCTTACAAATAAACCCCTCAATCAACAATAAAGAGTAAATGGAAACTTTCAAATTTTCTAATATTTTTGTTAGCTTCTATTATAGAAAATTGAGACTCAGTGATTGACTTTCAAGGTTACAAAATTACTTGAGCAGCAGAATTGAGACATGAACTTGGATCCAATGCTTCAAACCCAATGCTTTATCTAAAACTATCTTGTGCCCTTGTTCTTCTAAACCAGTTTAGCTCAAATGCAACAGTTCTATCTGGAAAATGATTAAAGGAAAAAAGATTTCTAGGGGCAATTTGTATAAGAAGGAAGCAATTATTTTAGAACTATGACTCATGTCTTGCCCTGTTTTCCAGGAGGAAATAGAAATCTTAGAAACAGAGTAACCACATTTCATTCTATTTCACAGGAGGTATCATAAACTTGATGTTACTGCCCTAATGGAAATGTATTCATTCTCTAGAATCTTTAGGATGCTCAAAGCTTTTAAGCACAGCACAACATTCAACAACATGTTTGATGATACAAATCTAGCTATCTTTCTTATTCTAGCCCTGTATCTCTCTTTTGTCAATACCTCTCTAATACCCAAGTTCTAGCCACAACAAATTGTTTGTACTTTTCTAAAGTCACCATGATTGGGCCTTTTGTCCTAAGTCTCCTCTGCACTTGGCTCATCTTCATTCACCTCTCATAAATCAACTGATATGTGATGTGAAGTCTGAAACCTTTTGGTCAGCCAACAGAAGTCCTCTTATTGATTCTGTGCTTTGTAATAAATTAAAAATGTTATATAAATACTTTTTATTATTTTATATCTATAATAATATATTTCCTTAGCCAGAGTCTATATCCACAAGTAATCTGTTCAGCCTTTATTCCAAAGCAGCAGCAATTCTCAACTGTGGAACTTGAGAAAAAAGGGGCAGTATTTCTAGAAAAAGAAAATTATAACATACTGTATTAGTCACCCCCCAAATCTTTCCCAAGTGCTCAATGTACCACACTTTGATATGTGAATACTGTAATTATCTGCATGCCTACTAATAAATATAAATATTTTACTTGATACAATATCTGGATAGAGAAATTAAGATAGAACAAACTTTTTTTTTCTGAGCTGGGTTCTTGTTCAGTTGCCCAGGTTGGTCTCGAACTCCTGGGTTCAAGTGATCCTCCCACCTCAGCGCCAGGCAGATAAAACAAACTTTAACAAGCAACACTTACACTTCTTCATGTGTAAACCATAAAAAGAAAACCAGTCTCACAGTTACTGTATCTAATATGTACTGAAAACTAACTATTCATTCAACATAACATCCATTCATTTATCATCATTTTGTAGGTAAGAAAAAGGGTTTAGAGGGGTTCAAAAGCTTCCTCAATGTCCCACAATCATTAAGTTTCAGAACTAGTACTGTTCTAGATTTGTTTAATCCTGTAGTCCAAGTTCTCGACCACTACACAAATGTTGACAGATCATTTTACAGAATACTGACAGTAAAATATTACAGTACTATAAGTCTAATAAAAGCAACATCTAATCCAGAGACTCAGGAACAACTAATAAACCTGAGGTGAGCCAACTAGCTGTCACCTTTTAGCTAAATGGGTTACTTATGTACCAAAAGCAATGCTGGAAGCCATATTCACTGATTAGGGCTTATAGTATATTTATAGTGGACTTCATTACTACTCCATGTGGGAAACAGACAATGATACAAAGATCACTTTTCACTCCTATTGTTTTTTTTAATCATGCTACTCACCCAAAACAGTGCTCATAGGTATAATCCTGAAACGCAGTGACAAAATATATAAATGTGCCCCTTAATCTGCTCAAACTCTTGACTTGTTCCTTGGTAATCACACCATTCCAAATAGGTTCCAAAGAAAATGCTTTTAATTTTTAAAAGATGGACTATGACTGTTCTAGAGCAAATAATTTTTTTATGCTACACCTGTATGTACCCCGTAAATCCTTCAATCACAGTGCTGCTTACACTAGGAGTACATTCTTTAGCTTTGGGACATTTGTGCAAACTCAACTTTGTATAACCAGATGCTAGAAGTGAATTTGTTCCTTAAGTGAGTAGAAACTGTGGTTTTGGTGACTGTCATGTCATCAGATTCCACAGAGCAAACTTCCTATAAAATGAAGGTATTTTATAACAAGGGAGCACATTTAAATACAAAAATACTTAACCAAATTTAATTAAATAATTTCATTTTAATAAATTGTGTTAATTTTTTTCTTTCAATAAATATACATTGTGCATAAAGAAATCCATAATTCAGGATACATTCTCTTAAACTACTCCAGTGGAAAATGTTCAAAAAGGAGGTAGAGCAGTTAAAAAAAAAAAAAAAATCATTTATAAATGACATGTGGTTTTGAAGAATGCCTATTTGCCCAATATGAAATGCAAACTATATGGTATGGCAAAATCAAGAGACTAGAATGCATATTAAAAAAAAATCCAGATTTGAATGAGAAAATAAGTATAATTAGAGTTCCAGCATGCAATTATTATGTTAAGTTGTCCTATCATGAATACTAACACAGACAGCTCATGTAAGCTTATTTGAGAACTGGGAAGTGAAAGCTCAAGTATTTAACACTTTATTAGACCCTTAAATAATCTTATAAACAGGAATTTAAAAAAATTTTTTTGTGGACAAATTACAATTAACACACCATAAACATTTGATACACTGGTATCTAAAATCAAAGCCACTGTATTTCTTTCTGTGTAGCTTTTGGCTGTTAGCACTCTTATCAATTTAGAAGTAGAGAAAGCCCAAAAAGTTTCATGAAAGCGGAAATCATTTCAGTCTTATACACTGTGGTAGAAGCAATGCCTAATATTCTGTAAAGAGTGAACACAATGCATGCAAATGTGAAGTCAAACAGAAAACTTAATATAACAAGGGATAGTAGACAGATACAGATAACACAAAAATAATGTTATCCTTTACCTGGATCAGGAGGAGCCTGTTGCTGCCAATGTGGATATGCATTTCCCCACCCCTGAGGAGCATATGGGGCTGGAGGACCACTGAAAAGAAAATCAATATGAAAATACAATTTACCAAAACTTAAAATCTTTATGAAAAAGTCCAGAACCAAATGTAGTACTTACTGAGGAGCTGGGCCAGGTGGTCCAGGATTATAAGGTGCAGGGTTGTATGGTCCCATTGGAGTTCCAGGCCCTGGAGGCCCAGGAGGCCCATGGGGGCCTGGGACACCATGGGGCCCATGGGGTACAGGGGGCCCTAAAGGATTTACTGGGCCCTGCAAAATAAAACCAAGATAACACAAAACATTCAGAAAAAGAGTGATGGTCAAAATAACACAAAGGCCAAATAATCTTACAGTTCTGTCCTCTTATATATACCAGTAACAAATTTTAGTTTTATTCCTTTCTTCATTCTTATTGCAAAATATTTGTACTTGTCATATCGAGACATAATTCACAAAAATAGCACTAACAAATGAATTCAAGAACTGATATAGTTTCTAATCAATTCTTTTGAGATAGTTCTGTATCTCCATTGCAACTTGATTTACCATATTAATCACAAACACTTCTCAGATAATTATTCACATTTTTTTCTGCATTTACTCTATCTTTACTCCCCTAAATCAACAACCATCCTGATGAGATATACCCCCCCCCAAATGTTTAAATTCTATAATGTGAATAAAATTACATGAAGTTTACTAATTCTCTCTCAAACTAAAATCTGCCACATAACCTTTTTATTTCTGTACCTGGAATCCCATTTAGAACAATAATTCTTTTTTCCTTCTTAAATATCATTTCTAAATAGCAGGAAAATTCCACTTACAATTGATAAATCAGAATTTTTATATCCATATTGTGCCAGATAATAATTAAAGTTTAGCCAATTTCTTCCCCTTTAAAAAATTTTTTTTAGATGCTGACGGACCTTTATTTATATGTGGTGCTGAGAATTGAACCCAGTCCCTCACACATGATAGGCAAGCGCTCTACCACTGAACCACAACCCAGCCCACTTATTTCTTTTTTTGACAAGTCAACTTGGAAAGACATTTGATTTAAATGCCTAAAACCCTCCTTTCTCAGTTAATACCAACTCATCATGGGCTGGGGTTGTAGCTCAGTGGTAGAGAGCTTGCCTAGCATATGTGAGGCCACGGGTTCGATCCCCAGCATAAAAAGAAATAAACAAAAACAAAATAAAGGTATTATATCCAGCTACAACTAAAATATAAAAACAAAAAACAAGAAATGAGACTTTTTGGACATGTATTAATTTACTTCAGTTAACTTTCTCACTAAGAAACAGGGAAACAGTTTCATGACCTTTTAAGCCCCTTATTAACTTGCCTCTAATTGCCATCATCCCTCACATCAATTAATAGTTAACAGAAAGAAAAAAGGAAACATTTTACAGGGCAAAGTTCTAGGCATTTTTAAGTGAAGCATACTCATTTTTAATCTCTTCATGTCTATGAACTAGGTACTGTTATCTTCATTTTATAGGAGGAAACTGAGGCACAGAATAATTTCTTCAGGCCACACAGTTAATGTGTCACGGGATTTTTAATCCATGTAGTTAAGTCATAATCAGTTTTATAACTTAAAAAAATTTAAAAACTGATTATACAAAAAAGGTTCTCTAAGTGTCTATTTCTCCATGAATCCAACAGAAATCTTGACCCACACTTGCTAGGTTAGTAAAATAAAAAATTATAATGTGCTATTCATTTTCTGCTTTGGCATTAAACCTCTGTTATTACTGAGTCCAGAACTATTCATTTTTAGAACGAATACACTTATCCATACCATAGAACTTATTAAAAAAATACAAATAGTCTTCATTCTAAAACCTGTATGATTGCGATCCAATCCAAAACCCAGAATTTATACCTTGTGTTATGAAGTGGGAGATCCACTGAATTTATCTTTTTTTGCCTCACCAGGCATGGGTATATACTTAGGATCTTTATAAACACTTTATTTTCATTACGAACTCCCTTCAGCTATGTTTCACAACTTTTCACCAAAACTAACACTGTATCTGTAGCTAATACATCTCTTATCTGAGTACACTCAACTGTAAGGTGGTTGGTAAGCACCTTTAACTGTATATTTTATTAATTATTTCCATTGCCAGACGCCTTCTATTAAGAAACCTATACTTTAGTATAATTAGTATAATGGTACACTTTCTTATGATGCATCTGAATTAATGCTTTACATAAATTAGAAATTTAAAGCATACTCACACCAATCTTTTCTTCTATGAGTTGCCGAGCATAGTCTATTTGCTGTGGAGTGCCACGAATTGTAAATAATTTCATATTAGGGTCTGCATTAGGTGGAGGATTTCTCTGAAGTTCTATTCTTGCACCAGACTGTTGGCTTATGCTTTTTATGGTCTCACCTCCTAAAATCAAAAGATATTAATTTTAGGTTCAAAGGATATAAAACATACTATTCAAAACAAAATGGTCACTATTAAATAGCCATAAAAATTTTGGGGGCACTATCCTGACAATATTCTAGTAGGATTTTCATTTATTCTACATTTCAATTACATGAAGCATTTCATGTTTTAAAACTGTATTAAAGTTCACTTAAAATTACACACTCTTTAATGTGTATTATAACTTACCAATGCAAAAAAACTAACATATTTCTAAACATAAAACTTTTAAAAAAATTATTATTTATTAGTTATGGGTGAACACAATATCTTTATTTTACATTTACGTGGTGCTGAGGATCAAACCCAGTACCTCATGCATGTTAGGCTAGAGCTCTATCTCTGAGCCACAATCCCAGCCCCACATAAAACTTTTTAACAATATGTGGTTCAGGAAAAAACAAAGTAAACTAAGAAAGAAACCCACTCAAACCACTTTTTTTGTGGAAAAAAAAAATTGGGGGGTGGTGGTGCCAGGGATTGAACCTAAGACCTTATGCACGCGAGGCAAGCACTCTACTAAGAGAGTTTGGGCTATATCCCCAAACCACTCTATGAGTCAAGTTTCTTATACCAATAAGTTTCTGGTCCCCCTCTCTCTAGGAGCCAATTAATATCAAATCCTACTCTTTTTCTGTAAGTATACATAAAATACTTCATTTGTTTTATTATTACATTAATATAAACATATTTTATTGAAATTTTATTAAAATTTAGCCAAAGAGAAAAATTATTGCTACCTGTTTACAAAAGCATGAGAAATACTATCCAGAAAAACTGTTGTGTGTTAAATATTAAAAAAATTTTAATACATTGCCTTTTCCTATTATTAATCCAGTCTTCCCGGTTGGCACAATGAAATTAAATTCCTGTAGTCCACCAGGTGGTCCCATGTTCCAGTTGCCTTGACCTCTACCTCTTCCTCGACCACCAGGTCCAGGTCCACCAGGATTACCAGCCTAAGGAGGGAAAAGACAAGAAGTCAGCATAGAAATGAACATTCTTTTTCTATGACAAAATTATTTTCTCCAACTCTCTATTATCAAACCAGAAATTTAGAGACCGGTTCAGAAATAATTTGACAAAAACAATAACTTTTTTTTATACTGGGTGAATTAAGGGAGGATACTTATTCTGCTCCAAGAGGTTACTCCCTTAAAGCAGTTTACACTTTCTAGTGATTAATAAAGTAATATCAAGTGGACTATAACACAAAATATAAGGGGCACTTTCAGATATAAAGGAAAATACTTCTCCAATGCAAACAAAATGAAATATTAACTTTCTATCAAACCTGAACACTTCGAAGAAGGTCTGTAATAATTTCTGCAGCATGTTGACATCGGTCTGGGGGTCCTGTTATTTGTGCTATTCTATCAGGTGTTGTTCCATCATCTTTGAAACAAATTGAAATTAAACATTAAATGCATGTCAAAACTAGCTGTTCCTTGCATGCACAAGGCCCTGGGTTCAATCCCTAGCATCACCAAAAAAACACCAACCCCCCCCCCCCCAAACTAGCTGTTACCAATACTTAAAAAATTCAATATATGTACTCACCTGGCTTAAACTGAATTCGAACACCAGCATCATTCTGTATTTTTTTGATCATCTCTCCATTTCTTCCTATTACAATGCCAACAGCAAATCTTGGAATCGGAACCTTATGTAAAGAAAACAAAGTATACATATAAAAAGAAATTTCCCCAGAATTAATCTGCATCAAATCACAACACGATATATGTCAAATATATATCCAGTACAGTAATAAGATACAGAACACAGTCTGGTAAAGTTTAAAGTAAAAAAGGGATAAAATGTTAAAGAAGGCTATCTAACCCCAAACAGGAAAAACACTACTATATTTATATATTACCATACAACCATTTCTGATTGGTTTCTTTACTTACATCAATCCCTTCATTTCCTCCTATTCTTGACCCGTACTCATTTCGAACTTCTCTGAAACCACCTTGATCACGAATTAATTCTAACACCATTTCCTTGGCTTGCTAAAGTAGAAAAACATAGATGACTTAAAAAGCCGGTCTTAAAACATTTTAATTCTTCATGTGTCTAAACCCATCCGACCCCTTAATAAAGGATAAAGTGAAGTTTACTTGAACTTTGTATGGGTCGCCTGTAATCCTAAGAGGCTTATCAGCACCAGTGTTCTGAGGCCCATCTTGAATCATAACCATTTTAACTCCAGCCCGTTCCTATTAAAATAATAAAAATTCTATGAGTCAATAAAAGGGGAAAGGAAAAGGAAAAAAAAAAAACTAGCTTCAAAATAGATTAAAAGCTTTAACATTTTACAATATAATCATACCTGAAGTTGTTTAATAGTCTCTCCTCCCTTTCCAATAACTAATCCTGCCTTGCTAGCTGGAATCATGATTTCTTGAACCGCATTTCCAGGTCCATCACCATGATGAAATCCAGGAGCTGGTCTTCCTTTTTCAACAATCTGATCTAGTAACCGTTTTGCCGATCTGTTAAATTCATATAAAATAATGAAGTTTAGCATACCCAAGCTTACCCAAAAAGAGACATCATATATCAAGTAATCCTATTCTAATAGATGCTTCAAGTTACTTACTATACTTTTAATTATAAAATGCCCAAGAGCCAAGATTGAGACTTGGCAATAAAACTTAGATTCTTTGTTTACTTCCTTCACCTGGGTAAGACTCTACTACTGAGCTACATCCCTAACTGGCCATTTTTGTTTCATTAAGGTACCCAGTTTGGCCTTGAATTTGCAACCAGTGTTTCTGCCTCAGCCGTTTGCATGGCTGGAATTACAAGTGGGTCACCACTATGTAATAAATTTCTAGATATATGACTTATTTTTGATAACAGTCCAAAAGTTTTCAAGAAGTGCTCAAATTCTAAAGTTATCTCAGAATTTAGCTGATTCCTCAAAAAATTAAATTACTGAATTTCCTTTGGTGCTGGGGATTAAACCAAAGGCCTAAGGCATATTAAAGCAGAAGCTCTAAACTGAGATACATCCCAGCCCATTTACACTTTAAAATCACAATTCTGCTCACTTAATCTGACTTTACTTCATTTAAATCCATAAAAATAGCATACATCAAATAAATAACATCATTTCTTAGGTGCTATAAAGAAAATCAAAGCAGGACAAAAACAATGTAAGCATGTGCACATGTACATACAAAACAGATAAAGGAGGCCTCAAGAATGAAGACATGTTGGGGTTGGGGCTGTGGCTCTGGCTCAGTGGCAGAGCACTTGCCTAGAATGTGTAAGAATTACACATTCGATTCTCAGCACCACTTATCAATAAATAAAATAAAGATCCATTGACCAAAAAAGAATGAAGACATAATTTAGAAAAAGGACTGAAAATGTTGGAAAATATAAAACTCATGGCATATAAACTCATTTATCACATGTAATTTAAAAGACTAAATGAAGTCATCTATTGAGCATGCATTGATATATTTTTTAGGGCATTTCCATGTTTTAAGGCCTAGAAGACAAAGCAGAACCACTAAGAAAAAGCAGATAAGTTGGTGCCTCAAAAATCAAATAAATCTAGTATTTCAAGGAGGTTCACTGTGTCAAATACTGCTGACAGGCTGAAGGATGTGGTGGCACACTGTAATGCTGGAAAAACGAAATTTCAGCAGAATGGTTGGAATGATGAGTTCAAGAGAAAATGAAAATGAATAAATGATAACCTAAGCATAGCAACTCTTAAGGGACCTTTGCTAATCAGATAAATATAATGTGAGGCTTCAAAGATGTTTTGTTAAGATGGATAGACTTTCAACCTGTTATTAGAAATTACCTTAAAAAAGGAAAAAACTACTGATGTAGGAGAAAGTCAGTTGAATTGTAAGGATAAGCAAGATCTGTATCTGAGTACTGTGCATATAGAGTAGAAATGAAGACTGTTAAAGTTTTAGTGGAAAAATGAGGTAGAAAACTTCCTAATATTTTGTTTCTATGTTCTTGCTAAATGAACTTCGGTGGGAAAGAAGGGGTTTGATGCTGAAGATTTGAAATGGGCAGTGGATCTACTTGAGTTGAGCTTAATGGTTATGAGTTTTATGTAACACCAGTCAGTGTGGTTGTATGTATTTTTCTCCAGGCCCCAAAGTAGAGATTGCAGTAGATACAAAACTGGTTTTAGTCATTTTCTGTGTTCCATGGCTCAGAGAGTGAACCCTAATCAAGAAAGACATGAGGTATAAATTTTGAAGAGTTAAATTTCAGGAAAGGGGAGAGGAAGACAATGGTGTTGAAGCAGTTTAAGAGCAAAGACAAAGTTCAGAGTCTTCATGTTATTACTCTAAGTAGACTTAAGATTTTCATACTTACTGGACAGATTCAGGTGTTCCAGTTAACATACAAGACCTTTCTGGAAGGCCACCACTGTCTACAAATAAAATAAAATTTTAGGTCAAGAAAATAGTAACAAGTTGCATCATTATAACTAGCAGCTTAAAAATAATACACATTTTCTAGTCACTTTGAAAATACCAAGAAAATAATTACCAGGAGCTATCTGTATTTTGCATCCAGATTCTTGCTGTATGCGTGAGATCTGTTCACCTCCTCTCCCAATTACTAGTTAAAAATAAAAATAAATTATTTGCCGAAAGAATACAAAGTATGCTTCATGTTTTCAAAACTTAAATATAAGTTACTTACTAAATCCAACCATTCCATCTGGAACTTTGTATTCTTCTGTCATTACAGATCTGCTAAGAAATAAGAGTAACTAAAAATTTCCTTCAAGAAAAGATAATGTTTATATATAAAAGGTAATCTAAATTTAAGTATAATGCTTCCTAATGGCTTAAACTAAGGTTCCAAGCACATAATTTTGGCAAAATATGGTCTTATTCTTTGTGTAGTATAGTTAAATTAAGAATCTTAAATAAAGTGATACCTATTAAATGAGGAAGAGATGGTGAACTGAATAGTCTAAAGGCATGAATGGCAAAGGAGTTAGGATGAAGAGTTCAGGAAATGTCACTTTAATTCACCTTAGCTCTTCTAAAATGTAATCTATTCCACCTGTTTTGCCAAATCTCAAATGGATCTCTCTCAACAAACAAAACAAACAAAAGACCCCATCCCTCTGTGTCGTCTTCCCAATAGAAGGAAATAAACTACATATGCAAAAAAATACATTGACATATATTCACTAAACATTAACTTATGTTTGTATATACAGTTCAATTCACACTTGCAAAGTACTTTTAAAAAAGCTTTTGACTATACCTTTGTTGCTGATGCATTGGTGGTAACTGTGTTCCAAAAGCTATCAAAAAATTAAATAAAAATTCAAAATTTACTTTTACTTATATATTTAACAACAATCAAATCAGACATTCTAAACTTCCCCTGATGCAAGAACATTCTGGAGAGAATACAATTTTATGTAGATGATTTCAATCAACATTGACAATTGATGAGAAAGACAGTGAAAGGGCAAATATATTAACAAAAAGCACAAAACTTTCCTTATCCAAGTGATACAAGCATAGATTAAGAAATAGAACAGTTAAATGACATTTATAATAGCCTAGAAATCAATCTTTATATATGCCTGGCCATGAGGACTGCTAAAAGGAATAAAATATAAATAAAGGAAAGGCATATATTTACAAGGGAATTCAGGCTTCACATTCTAAAAGACCAATCAAATTTCAAAAAAACTCACTAAAAATAGAAATAAGCCCTCAATATTAAAATTCAGGTACTTTTAAAACCCAGTTTAAATTAATACTTACAGTCATTCTGAGGAGCAACTTTCTTAGCATCTGGTTGATCTGAAAAATTAAGAGTCTTTCAATTTTTGCCAGTAAGGACAAAGCTCCTCCCGCCAAAGAGTAAATAGTTATAAACATTTATTAAAAATCTGGTAGAATGGTTTATTACTTGAACCAAAATTGCCAAACCTCAACTTACTCCCAATAATCTAACGAAAAACTAGTCTTTCATTATCCTTGTGTTTAAAAAATGCACAGACATTATAAAAAAAAAACCTTTCATTATATCAAATCACTGACCTTAATGTATTAAGACACTTTAGAATGATATATAAGACAAAGTATCTTGATTACTAGCAAAATATCACATGCTATTGGCTAATGATGCTTCCACTGTAGGTACTAAAAACCAGGTGGGGGGAGGGTGGGCTATCGAAATGTAAAAATCTGATATATCCAAAGTTGAGTGTATTTGACAGTGATCACAAAACTAGATTCAAAAAGGAAAAGAAAAAAAAATCACATTACAAGGCAATCTCAATCTAAACTGTTCTATTATCTGTAAACATTTCACTGTGTAAAACTTCAGAATTCAAAGCAGCTACATGACTATCTTTATCTAAATCCATTAGAGATGAACACAATGCATACCTTACAACAGACAACCTATAGCTGATTGAATTATCTTCTCCTCCCCCCTTCAAATTTAAATGATTAAACATAAAATAAAGATTGTTGTGGAGCAAAAATTCAGACACAATCCAAAAGAAAGTTTGTGTCCATTTAAGAATCCACTGGTTTATTTCACGTTTACATACTAAACACAGGTAATAAATAAAAATTCCTGCCTTTAAAAGGAGAGGGCATTCCCTCCCAGTGTGTTGTACTGCTCGGACTTGTCCAAGAGCCATCTACACATAAAATAAAAAGAATACATTACATACAACATCTGAAGCATCATTAGCTCATTTTTTTTTAAATATTAAAAACCTCACTACAAATATGAAAGACACTTAAATAAGAGGAAACCAAGTACTCCTGGTCAAAGCTACAAATACATTCTATAGGCTTGGTCAGAATCCTCCTTTAAAAAAAGGGCCAAAGAAAGTGTATCAAAATTTATAATCAACCCTAAAACAAAAAATATACAGATTTCTAAGTTCAGAAGCTTCAACAATTATTTTTTTAAAATAGAAAATTATAAATCCACTGTTTTAATCCACATTTAAAATTAAACCTGAAACACAAAATAACATAAAAGTGTTACACCAGGGTAGCAAACTACAGAAACCTTAATCTGTAAAATGAAACCTGAAATAGTAAAATGATGAAAATACAGCATATAAAAATTCATTCACATAAGAAAAAAACAGTAAAGTGTTTCCTAAACTATTTATAGTTTTGTTTTCAGTATTAATGAGAAGTCTGTGCAAACTGTCAATCTGGCACAATGCTAAGAGGGAAAAATCAACTTGTTTTCTACTAAGACAAAACTTTCTAGTTGAATCAAATTTTACCTACCTTGTCTAGGTCTCCCTTTCCCCACTTTACTTTTGAAGCCAATATAAACCTTACAATTTTAGGAATCATAACAAATTTTGAAAATAATTTCAACTAAATGCTTTCTGAAACAATTAAAATTACTTATGGCTATAACTTACCTCCATCTTCTAAAGGTCTTTTTTGTCCCCCATAACCATAGTCATTTGAATTTAATGATGTACCAGCATCACCCCCAATTTTTGCTGCAATCTTAAAAAACAAAAACACACCATTACCAAGGATAGCAACACAAACTACTATAAATTATTCAGCTCACAAAAGCAAAGTCACTTGATACAATGGCAAACTAAAACCATAGTTCAAATTTATCAATATCATTAATACTTCACAGAGTTAACAACCAATCATGGTCTGAAATGAAGTTTCCAATACATCCATATAAGAATTAACAAAGTAGCTGAAATCAGTCATCGTTAAGGAAAAAGACTAGTTTTGAAGAAAATATGGATCCTAATGCTATCTTTCCACAGTTTTTCCCCATGGCTTTTAAAGATGTTTGTGATCACAGAGCATGTGACCACTTCTAGGACTGTAGTACTATGGTGCTTAATTAAATGGTTAGTAGACACATGTGGTTACTGAGTACTTAAATTGTGGTCAGTCCAAACCGGCATGCTTTGTAAGTGTAAAATATGCACTTGGGATACTGAAAAACTGCAATTAATGGAAGAATATAAAACATCTGAAAAGTTTATATTAAACACACATTGGAAGGATAATATTTTGTGTATGTTGGGTCAAACAAAATACAGAGCTTGCATTATATTTCCACCAGACAATGTTATTCTAAGAGTAAATGCTGGAGCCTAGGGAGCTCTAGTCTAAGAAAATCTTAGCTAGAAAATCATAATTCTGTTTAAAAGGCTTTCCTCATGATGGTGCACTCCCAGTGCAGAAGGATCACAGGTTCAAAGCCAGCCCCGGCAACTTAGGCCTTAAGCAACTTAGCCAGACCTTGTCTCAAAATAAAAAATGGCTCAGGACATGCCTTAGTTGTTCAGTACCCCTAGATTCAATCTCTCAAAAAAGCCATTCTCTTAAATAAGTGTTAATTTTAAGAGTGGGGCAACCAGTGTGCCTGTAATCCCAGCTACTTGAGAGGCTGAGGTAGGAGAATCTCAATTCAAGGCATCTTAATGAGATCCTGTCTCAAAATAAAAGGGCTGGGGTACAGTGCATACCCAGCATGTACAAGGCCTTAGGTTTAATCCCTAGTATCCTCTGCCACCCACAAAGAGTGGGACAGCCAGTGCATTCCTGTAATTGCTATTACTCAGAAGGCTGAGGCAGGAGGATTACAAATCTGGGGCCAGTCTAGGCAATTTAGCAAGATCCTATCTTAACAACAACAAAACGGCTGGGAATTTGGCTCAGTGGTAGAACAGTTAAGTGGTGAGGGGCACACAATTTTATTTGACTAAACCAACTCCATATAAGAAATACCAGCTTGAAGTTACAAACAGGGCACAGCCAATGGGCATTTATTGCATTCTTCTATGAAAAGAAAAATGGAACTATTATTACTGGCAAAGGTCAAACTCCACAATACTCTGTATTATACTCATCATTAAAGATGTGTGAAACTTATGAGGGTTTATTATATCATTTTAACTTTGTCTGAAATCATCCATGTTAAAAAAAAAAAAAAAAAAAACTGTTGGTGACTGAAATTCCCAAGAGATCCTGATGTGGGATTAAAAGAACTAAACCAACTGCTTCACATTTGTGTATAATCAGGACACTGGAGAGGCTGAGTATATTCAAGGATATTGGTGTCTTAAATCAAATATGGATCACTTAAAGCCAGTATGTATCGTATTCCACATAATAACTATCTTTCCAGGTTTCCTAGATTTACCTTTTCCTCATCCATAAATGCAAATACCTACAACACAGGGCATATTATTAAAATGCATGATATAAAAGGCACATAATTTGATTTCCCTGATTCTAAAGCTTTGATGAATGCAAACTGCCTTATCCATTTTTCATTTTTTCCCCCCTAAGAAGCCTACTTTCATCTTTGGGCATACAATTTAATCTTATTTCCTTCCTCAAAGTTTCCCTAATCATACTTGAACTCCTTCAGTCTCAAAACATTTAGCACTTTAAGAACTTAAACAGTAAATGGCATTTACAAAGCTCTGAATTTGCAAAGCAACTCGCCTTGAACTTTAAGGAACTTCCACAGAAAGAATACTTACTTGTACATAATTTACTAAACATTTCTAATCATGGAATGGTTCTACAACTATGCATATGAAAATGAAAGTTGATACTTAGTTCGCTTAAAGAACCAGTAATATTTCAAAAACTGAGAGTAAATACAAAGACATTAAAGATTTTAGTATAAATATTAAGAGATTTGATCAAATATATTTTCTAAGTTATTACAAAGAGGGTTAATTTAAAAGATAGAATTCCTAAAAACCAACTAACTTCCCGATATACTCAATTCTATACATTAAGTGTGGGAACTTCTTACTTTGAAAATATACAAAAATAATCCAAGCATACAATAAGCAGATCACCAGTATGTAAAGGGGAACAGTGAGAGGAAGGAGGGTAGGGAAAGTGGAAGCATAGGGATTGAAATGGAACAAATTATATTCCATGCATAGGTGCATATCAAAATGAACTCCACTATCATATATAGCTATAATGCACTAATAACAACATTGAATAATCCAAACTTTCTATTTGGACCCTACTCTACTCTGCTTTCATACATATATGTATGTTTTAAGCATTTCCACCTTCTTCACTGGCCATCCCTAAAATCCAAGAATTTTGAAGTTGATAGGAAACTCTACAGATTAGTATTTTTTTTTAGTTGTTGATAGACCTTTATTCTGTTTATGTGGTGCTGAGGATCAAACCGAGTGCCTCACACTTGCTAGGCAAGTGCTCTACCACTGAGCCCCAATTTTAGTTTTTTAAAAAAGCCATTTCTCAGAAGATAACTATCTAAATGCCAACTTTCAGTCCACTACATGCCTCTTATGTTTTTGGGTGGAGACATGGAACTGATCTTATTTCTTTCTAAAACTGTCATTTACCACATTTGCATATAATGAAATGGTAAAAAAAGTCTCTCTACACCTACCTTGTGGCAAGATGGCAAAAATCAAATTAATCAACAAGATATGTTTAACTCTGAGTTTAATATGTAGCATAGTCTCAACAAATTGCTAGTTATCATGACAAATCAGCATACATATGATTCAAATTTAAGGCAGGGTCCACAAATATTTGATTTAAAAAATGCATTTGGGTCAAATATAGTTGCATTCTACTTGTGAAAAATGTGCCTGGAGACCAACAAGATATACAACTTCTGTAGACCTAGGATCTGATATAGCTAATAACATGCATTTTTAAAGAATATATTATTGTCAAAACAAAATTTGATCACAACATTTCTAATTCATTGATTTAATTCAGAAAGTATTGAGTACCAACTATTGGCAAGGTCTTATGGGAGTTCATGGTCATAAACCTGAAATGTCAGATATGATGGACACCTGCAGTATTACACCATTTTCTTATTACCACAATCAAGCTTATTAGCAACCCAACGTCTATCATATCTGATCCATCTGTATTTTTCTCACCTCTTTCCACCTTCCTTGCTCCACTCAATACTATGTTCCAATAACTTCACTCTTGGGTTCTGGCCATTCCCAAAATCCTTATACCTTTGCACATGATGCTTTTTCTTTATTGGCCAAACTCATTCTCCAATGCCTTGGACAACCCCTTATCCCGTATGCCTTTACAGTTCCTGACTCACAGCAGAAATGCTTTATGAGAACAAGCTGATGAATTAAGTGTCCATATTTTGTCTACAGGCGTATAAACGAAAACATTAAATGCAGAAATTCTGTTACTTGCCTTTGGTTCTCTGACTATATCACAGATTCTAAAAAGTGAGAGAATCAATTCATACCTTAAAATAATTTCCAGTCTCTGGCTGAGGATATAGCTCAGTGGTAGGGACCTTGCCCAGGCATGTGAGGTTCCATCCCCAGCACCAAGTGAAAAAAAAACAAAAACAAAAAACCCCTATGTCTATGAATAGTGTGGCACAAAATACTAGTTTTAATAAAGACTGCTAAGTCTTCCAACCCAATCTTATTTAAAACTTGCTAACAGTGTTTCTGTTTGGTACATAAATGTTTCAACTGCTTTTTAAAAAAATACTCTGTAGTTCAAAAAATGCACAGCTAGTTTTAATGATGAACTTTTGTTCACTATAGATTTTGATTTTTGCCTCAATCCTGCTGGTAGGTAAAAAGTTAATGAAGTGAACTCCTAACCATCAAAACTGGTTTCCACTTACCGTTCGCCTGACACTGGTCTAAAATGCCTAGCACCCAGTACATATTCCGACCTTAGTTAGAGACTAGACCGCACCAATATCACATATTTTAAAGCATAAGCGCATCAGGGGACATCTAAAAAGAACATTCAAGTTAAGTAACCTTCCAGGTTCCGGGAGCACATAAACCATTTTTTAAAATGGCTTTAGCCTGGGAAAGAAGTGCCTTCAGGGCAAATGTACGCACCTACGTAATACAAAGAGGTCTGGTCAATTTACGACTCTGAACAGAGAGGCAGATTCAAATTGAAACCGCGGGTATAATGGGCCTGAGGCCATTTTGAGAAAGGAGGAAGGACTCACACACAAATCCCGCCCAAAGGAAGGGTGCTTGGTGCTTTCTAGAATCGCTTCCTTGTAGAAACGAAGGTGAAGGTTACCGAAAGCTGCTTTAATTGGGAGGGAGAGCTCAAAAGAGCTGGAAGCTGAAAAGACTGCTTTAATGACAAATCCCTTCCCTTACTACCTGAGACTCCTGTAGACGGACCCTAGCCCTATCCCAAACTAATTACCAGAACCTTCCATCCTATTGTGTAAAATTACACGCGCTTCATACCATGAAAAAAGGCATTCGTTCTAAGTAAGAGGGAGGGGAGGCTGAGCTAACTTGTTGGAAGTGCTAGTACTGCAGAACTGGGCGAGACTTAATGCCATCTCTGAGTACCCTGCGTTGGAGTTCCAACGCTAAGAATACAAAACTTGAGTTCTGGTCTCCGGTCGCTATTATCAACGTAGAACAACGTGAATCTTCTCAAATTTCAGCCCGGAAGAGCACCTCTTTCCTCTTCCTCACGCTTGAAGAGATAGCGGCCTACACAGTCAGCGGGCCAATTACCGTGGGCTTTCGGGAACTCGCCGCGCGATCCAGACTTACCTGCCGGGCTCTCTGCAGCGCATCTTTGAAAGCATCGTTAACTCCTCCTCCACCACCGCCGCCACCACCACCAGCAGCTGACCCAGAGGAGGGTGGAGGCACTGTTGAATAGTCTGCCATGGCTACACTACAAGAACCGCTGCCGCTTCTTCACAGAGACCTCCTCTCAGCTAACTGCTAAGAAAGGAAGAAAATGGCGACCGTCGAGCTTCTATCACATTCTTGCGCGACCATCGTGCCGTAAAGGGGCGGAGACTGAAAGATGGAAATCCCGCGATGTTTCTGAGGCGACGTGCTGCCGTGGGGGGTGGGGCTGAGAAAGAAGGAGCAGCAGAGAGCGTCGCGAGAACTGGATTTAAAGTTTCGCGAGAATATGGTTTATCTTGGCGCCTCCTTTCCGCGCGTTGTTGGGGTGAGGCTGGGTAATTGTTCCTTCGGGTTGGTGGGTAGAACTGGCGCGGAGGCGGCCGTTGGATTTGGGTTGCAGAAAACTTGAAGGAAAAAGAGTAACTGTTGCTTACCAGCCGCTGCCTCTGGAAGGTAGTGCGGAAAAATTTCCGCCAGGGGTTATTCTGTGTATCTGCGAGGAAGGGCTTGACGCCCAGGGGCGTGACGACAACGCAACAGTGTCTCGAGAGCACCGCGGCCCGGAGAGCGCCTGAGAGAAGCGCGCCCCGGACGCCGTGCGGCTATGCTTCTGAAAACGCCTGCCTGGCTTAGTGGAAACCCAGCATGATTTTCAGGGTAGTAAAACGTCCCTGTATTTACCTCTAGGCTGTCAAGATTTTGGAGTTTTATCACAACTGGGGATGAACTGAGGTTGGAAGTCTATAAATTATCGAACTGATTTCCACGTTTTTTTAAGTTAGTGAATGAGCAGGCTGACAATGACTATCTGTTGAAAACGCGATTACTTATAAAAATCAGTGTTAATCAGAATTGATTATATAGGTTGTGGGTCCCTGACCATTTTTATTGAGGTCCTTATAATTAACATCCGTTTCTTGCCCAGAATTGATTTTGTGGCTTCTGAGACTATTTTTCCCATTCATCTGTGTGTACTCAAATGTAAGGTCATGTTCGGATTGTCATCCCTGGACTAATTGAATTTTTGGGGGGCAGGGGCAATTTCTATTAATATATTTACCAAATAATTTCAGATTTTTTCTTTTCAGAACTTAGCAAGCATATTTTATTTATTAATAGTAGCAGTAGTTCCAGAGACAAGTTAGGGTATTTTACAAGTCATTCTGTTCGCACTTGAATATACCACAATGGTTTCTTATTCTGTTTCCCAAACTTCCTTCTAGTTAACAAAATGAGGTAAAATGAACTTCTTCAACTTTGTGGTACTTTGGTCTTCCGTGAATTAATCTAAGAATATAAAAAGGTATAGGAATGTAACCCAGTGGCAAAAAGCCTGTGGTTCTCAACCCCTAGTACCAAAAAAAAAGTTTGTTTTTTTTTTTTTTAAGTGGAAATTATATTTGGGAAAGCAGTTAATGTATTAGACTACAGTATATCAACAAACTATAAAAGCAGTGTTGGGTGTATTTCTAAACAGAAACTTCATATTTTTAGTTGTCTAACAAATATTTATTAATGAGTAATTGTTTTTTTCATGTTTTATTAATTAGATACCAGTTAGGCCTTCTGGTCAACATAATTTACCAGAGTTATATAATTTACCCCCCCCAAACAACCTTTATTTCATGTATATTTTAGTTTTATTTAGATATTGAAAGTAAGAACCTCTCTGTACACACACGTATACATATATATGTACATATATTTCATATGTATATATATATATTTTTTTTGATAGAGGTATGGATATGCTAGAATGGGAAGAAGTTGGAATCAGTCTAGACGAGGATTTCTCACCTTCAGCACTACTGACATTTTAGACCAGAAAAATCTTTGTTTTGCTGTACTGTTCTGCTATTCTAGTATGTTTGGCAGCTTCCTTGTCTTCTCCCTACAGATGCCAGCGCCCCCCTTTGGCCTATCACCAGTTGTGACAACCCGAAATAGATACAGACATTGCTTGTATGCCTTGGGCAAAATTACCCCTTATTGATAAGTACTGGTCATCCTTGGTTTCTGTTTCTGCCTCTTCTCTACATCCAGAAAGACCCTATTGACTGTAATGCCAATGCATATTCTAAATTTCATTACTTTTGCCCCTACTGCTCCCACCCTAACACAAGTTACCATCACTTCATTTCTGGATGGTTAAGCAGCATTTTAGTTCTTCTGCTCTTACATATCTTAAATTTGCTTTTTAAAAAATTATGAAATTTGGTACAGAAATTTATGGTAATACATACGGTTTCAAAAGTAACAAGCACCCATGTATCCATTCTATAGGAATATTATCCAAGAAATAAACCATTATGGGTATTTTTGAAGCTTGAGAGGTACCTCTTCCTGATGATTTTACAATTCATTCCTCATACAGAAGGTTAATATTTTTTTTTTTTAGAAAACAAATCAGGTCTGGCCTATATATTTCCAATTGCACTTTAAATTCTCTTCTTAGAATGGCCTGGGGGTTCCATGTAATTGGGCCACTGTGTCTAAAACTAACTCCACTCCAAGTATTTGTCTGCTTTGCTATTCAAGAACTTCCTGCCTGTGGAACCTTGTACTTGTTTTTTCCTTTGCCAATATGCTCTTCAGGTGCTACTCCTTGGACCATTCTGATCTTGCGATTCTGTACTTACTGTCTGATACCATGTTCTCTTTATGGCATTTATCTGAAATAATTTTTTCTTTTACGTGTAAACTTCTTTATGCCTCTCTTTCATTAAAACATAAATTTCTAGAGAGCAGGGATTTTGTCTCTACCTAGCTTATAGTTTTGGCACTCTGTATTTGTTGAATGAATGCATGCTGAAAAAAACTCAGCTTTTCCATTTTAGGTGTTTTTTTTTTCCCCCCTTAGTACTAGAGATTGAATCCAGGGATGTTCAACCACTGAGCCACCTACCCCTTTTAATTTTTTAATTTTGAGACACAGTCTGGCTAAGTTGCTTAGGACCTCACTAAATTGCTGAGACTGGCAATCCTCCTGCATGGGCCTCCCAAGTTTCTGGGATTACAGGCATGTGCCACTGCACCTGGCTTAGTTGATTTTTTGATGTTGGGCAGGTGGCTTAATATGTGTTTCTGATTTCACATCTACATAGTGATCATAATCTACTTTATCATCCTTGAATGAGCTATATCTGTAAGCTCTTCAGAAATCATAAAGTGCTATGCAAATAGGAGTTAAAATATGCAATTTGCATATTTTAAATATGGCTCAAATATAAATTGTGGCTCAATGGTCTAGCACATGTGAGGCGCTGGGTTCAATCTTCAGCACCACATATAAATAAATAAAGGCATTGTATCCAGCTACAACTAAAAAAAATATTTTTAAAAATGCAGTTTATTTTTTGGTATTGCATGATCAGGAAAAAATAAGCATGTAGTCCACTTAATATATACAAGTATATTTAAATACTTTTGGTAAAACAAAATCCTGCAAAGTCAACCAAATTGTGGGAAAACTATGAATTTTTTTTTTTTTTAATACTGGGGTTTAAGCCCAGGGACACTTTACCACATCTCCAATCCTTTTTATTTTTTATTTTGAGACAAGATCTTGTTAAGTTTCTGAGGCTGGCCATGAATTTATGATTTTCTTGCTTCAGCCTCCCAAGTCACTTGGATTATGGGCATAAGCCAGTGTGCCAGTTTGCTAGTGATTTACCTAAGCTGAATATGTGTTAGTTTTGAGTTCATACACTCTTCTTAAAGCTATTTATACTCTTCTTTGTTCTAGCTTAATTTTATTGAAACTGATAAAATCATCTTGACTGCTTATTCCCCTTTCCAGTGTAAATCTTCTTAAAAATGGGAATATGAAAAATAAAAAAGAAAAATTAAAAACCAACAAGAAAAAAAGTATCTATCATGGGCATATCACAATAATCTAAAATTGGTTTATCGTGCTTTGAGAGATTAGCTGAATATCCGGCTGAAATATGTTTGATGATTACACTCTTATCAAGGAATTTTAAAATCAATTTTTAAAACTCTGGCATTAGTCTGAAAAAATAATTCTTTTAATATTAAAAAATTAACTTCTGATAAGTATTCCATATTTTCTCCTCAGGATGAAGGAAAAATCAGTAGTTCTGAACTTATAAAAGTCTAATAGCGGCCTGGGACTGTGGCTCAGCAGTAGCGCACTTGCCTGGCATGTGTGAGGCACTAGGTTCGATTCTCAGCACCACATATAAATAAATCAAGATCTATCAACAACTAAGAAAAAAATTTTTTAAGAAAAGTCTAATATATAAATTGCCAAATAATAGAATAAAAGGGTAAATAAAAGTTGGATTATTAAATATACTAGAAAGTTTCTTCCTTTTACTTTCTAATATTGCTTACCAAATTGATTCATTCTTAGTACAGCTTTTCACTGTTAGGATTTTTTAAGACTGTGTGGAATATTGATAGATTGTTATTTATACCTTGTTATTTATACCTAATGGTGAAAAGTAACCCATTATGGTTTTTGAACAGGCATTTTAGAATGGCAAAATTGTCTAGCTTTCCTGCCTCATTTTATATCCACATACATTTGATAGGTTTTAGCCAGAAGGCTCTCTTATAACCTTATACTCTTATGTTATAGTCTGTTATTGAAACCAATTCTGTTTTTCCTGTCTACAATCCCAACAGATACAGACAGGAAAATGTGAGAATTGCAGCCACTTTAAAGTGATGGTCCAGGATGTTATTCAGATATTTGATTATTAGGTGGGTGATTAATCTTTGTGACTTTGATCTCCATGCTGTTTGAGTTTCTAGGATTTTATTTTAGACTATGGTGTGAATGGAAGCAGGAGATATTTTGTATTTTAAAGGACAAAGTTGTTAACACAAATTGTAACTAACTTTGGAACATTGTAGGGAATAGCAGTTTGATCAGTGTCTGAAACTGGAGGCAGCCCAATGTTGTGGAAAAGATTCTGGCTTTGGTCCCCGAGGATCTAGAATCAAGTGTGTATGCCCTTTGGTAGGTTACAAGTTCTTTCTTTCACTGGCATAACATTAAGAGAGGGTAAAATTTTAATCTGTTTCTTAAAAGTAGCTATCAGTAAAAGAATACAATTTTTGCCTTTGAGAAATTGCTTAGCCAGACTATGTGGTACATGCCTGTAATCTCAGCAATTTGGGA